GAACTGGCCCCTGGCTATGTTTTCTGAGGGTCTTTGGATGCCTGGAGAATGGTCTGTGATCCCCAGTACCTCTGGGGTATCAGTTTGTACCAACAAAGTCTAGTTATCCCCCATACTCACTGTTTCTCTTTAGGAAGCCTTTTTTGAATTTACTTGTCTTAGGGGAATTGTATTGGTTTCTTACTGCTGTTGTAACAAAGTACCATGAGCTCAATCACTTAGAACAACACAAATGTTAGCCTACAGTTCTGGAGTTCAGAAGCTCAAAATTAGTCTCCCTGGATTAAAGTCAAGCAAAGCAAGTTCCTTCGGGAGGATCTAGGGGAGAATCTGTTTTCTTACCTTTTCCTAGAGACCACAAATAGGGGAGCTGCACTTCCTTGACTCAGGGCCCCTTCTTCCATCTTCAAAGCCAATATTATACCATCTTGCCTCCCTGACTTCTGCTCCCATCCTTCTGTCTTCTGACTGATCCTTCTGTCACCTTCTCATAAAGGGTCTTGTGATTATATTGGACCTACCCAGGTAATCTAGGATAATCTTCCTATTGAAATATCCCTTAAAACTTATTTGTTTTATTTTATTTATTTATTTTTTATTATGATTTAAAATTTGCTATAGGACATGTGCACTCACCACAGAGAGAGTGAGAAAATGAGAAAGCAAGCAAGCTGCCAGGTCTAGAACTCGAACCATGGTTGGCCATGTGGGAATCTTCCTATTGAAATATCCCTTAAAACTTATTTGTTTTATTTTATTTATTTATTTTTTATTATGATTTAAAATTTGCTATAGGACATGTGCACTCACCACAGAGAGAGTGAGAAAATGAGAAAGCAAGCAAGCTGCCAGGTCTAGAACTCGAACCATGGTTGGCCATGTGGGAATCCAGTGCCTTAGCCACCATGCTGCCTGTTGGCCTCAGAATACCCTTCATTTAATCATATCTGCAAAACCTCCTTTGCCATATAAGGTAACATATTCATAGGCTCTGTGGATTAGGAAATGGACATCTTGGGAAGAGTAAGTCATTATAGAACCTACCACAGAGATTATCCACTCAATTTTAAAACCTGGACTTAGGGAGAACAGTATATTGAAACTCCTTTGTTGGAGTTGGGAATTATAGATGGTCTCTTGGGAGCTGACTCTTCCTGCTTATAGGTTTAGCAAAAGCAAAATGCATTTGCTCTCTGGGTATATTTAGGTTCTCTTTCTTGAACTATTCGAGGGCCTTTATCCATAGAAATCTAGATTCAAAAAGAGGTGTTCACATCTCCTCAAAGCCACCAGGTACTGATGACCCACTTCTGTCATCTGTCTTCATCATTCCGAGTGCTCACCAAGTGTGAGGCAGCACACTGGGAAAATGCAAGAATCTCCAACACATACTCTCTCCCTTCCTGGGGGTTATGTCTTAAGGAGTAGAAGACACATATATGATTAGTTTAAACACAAGGCAGGAGGTGCCAAGTGATGTCACAGTGACAAACCAGGGCAGTGGGAAGACTGTAGGGGACCTCTCTTCCAGCCCCCAACTGAGTCAGATCATGTACTCCAGTTTTGGGCTCAGAAATAGAATCACTGCATGCACCTGGATTTCAGGTTATTAACTCTTGCAGGCTAATCATTTTAATTTTTTTTTAAAAGTAAGATATATCTTTTTATCTTGATTCCTTGGCTCAAAAGAATGATTCAGTTCCGATGATTCATTTGAATCACTTCTGTTCATGGCTGATTAAAACTGAGAACAATAAGGTTTGCTAGGCAAAGCAAAAGTTAGGAAGAAAATCTGGTTTGTCTTCTTATTCTGGCTGGGTCTGAATAGGTAAAACTTCTGTACCGGGCCGTACTCTGAGAAGCACTCGTTTGCTATGGCTGACCTACAAATACCCGGCATGGTTGGCTTTCCTTGTGGAAAGATCTCTCTTCCTCCTCACGTGGCCTTTTAAGGGTGATAGGGAATCTCTAGCAAGAGCTCCCTCCAGCCCAGAATGCAATTTTAGAAAATACAGCTGACTTCTCTGGGAAAAACAAAACCAACCTCATCTTACTCTGGTCTTGGAAACCAAATTGGCACCTCATTATCGCCTTGTTAACAAGGACAGGCTACGTGGTGGACAAACCTGGTAGGAAGGGTTGGCCCAGTGTGGACAGGGTTTTGAGTTAAGCCTAATTGCGCTTCTAAAGCTCAGCTACTTAATACTCCACAAGCCCAAATCTATCATCAGGCTCTTGACCATCTTCCTCTTCCTTTTGTATCCACACATATGTGCACAGCGTTCCCCAACTCTACCACTGCCGTGATTTATGTTGGGTCACACTGGGACCCCCAAAGCTCGGCTACAACCAGTCCCCCCGCCTCCCTGCAGAGGAGGAAAGGTGTGTGACCACCTTTAACCTTGCAAACTCCCCCCACCCCCCTCCAGCCCCCTGCCTAATATCTTCAAATGCAACCAGTCTGGTCTGCCCTTGGCATGCAGCAGGGCTGCTGGCTGGGGAAACGTGATGTCTTTTTAAGAGCTGAGAGCAAGGTTTTGATTTTTCGCACAAACGAAAAAGAATAACAAAGTCTTTTTATCTGGCTCTGAAATGTGTTTTGTACTTCTATTTGAATGTGGGTGTGCCTGACGTTCTGGGAACTCACTTCAAACAAAACAGCGAAGCAGTCCCTGAAGATATACTCAGAGGGGGCTGAAAAGCTGCATGCTTTAATTGCCTCGTGCCCCTTATCTTCTTCTCAAAGCCTGCTTTGAATCTCACATACCCACTACTTTGTACTCAGTAAATAGGTCACCTATTCTCTCTGAGCTGGAGGTTCTTGCCCTCCAAAATGCGATGAAAATGAGCTATCCCGTAGAACTGCCTAGAGAGATCAAATGAGATGACCTAGGCCAAGCGTGGGTCACCTGTTCGCATCACAGTAAACGCGAGCAGTCCTTCCCACTCACCCGCTCCTACCACCTCCACACCCCCTCCAGTGCAATGTGCCAGCCTAAGCAGCCGCTGTCTTTCTTCAAATGCACTCTAAGCCGGGAGAGGTGTGACATGTCACTCGCTTTCCATGTTGGGCTCCCTTTTTCTTCCTCACCAGAACCTGCCCCCAACCTCCCCCCGCCCCGTGCCCCAGTCTCTCTCTCCTTGTTTCATTGTTGTTGGATTTTCACTGTACAGGGCCTGTGACAGTGGAGTGTCCAGCTGTGACATTTCTACCCCACACTTCATAGGCACGCTGATCGCACAGCTTGGATTGTCCATGCCAGCCCCAACTTCAAATTCCACAATCCCATTCTTCCCATTCAAATGTTGTGGATTTCCAGTTCAGCACCAAATCCATTTCCTGGTTACACCCACTTCCCAGAGGGGAATTTATAAGACTTGGAAAATGTGGTCCTATGAAAGAACCCTGGCTATGGTAACCACCTATCTCAGACTTCCTGGAAAATCTGTCCCATGCTGGACCACATCTCCTGGTTTTGGGTCCAGAAAACACACTAACCAGCTGGCACAGGCCACACAAAAGGCACATTCCGTGCAGAATTCTCGCCCTGTAAGAGCCCACCGTGGCCTACTGTCTTGAATTCAGATTCTTCCCTTGTAATTTTGGAGGTACTTTTTATCCTAGTTGGGTTTGAGAGCTGGATGGAGGGGGACATAAATCTCGTTGCTTTTGGAGATGAAATGAGGACAAGGATGAAAATGTGTTTGGCACAAATATTCGCACGATTTATTTGATATGCAATTTAAAGCCTACTTTCTTGTTGTTGCACTTAACAGCCAAGCATACAGGTTTTTTCATGTAATTAAGGTTTCTTTCCTTTTTTTTTTTTTCTCTTTTAAATACTGACTTTACCAAATAGTGATTCCCATTGGCAATGATGGGTGGAGGTGGGGTGAGGAGAGCAGATATCTAAGAGGATTTAATGTATAGGAATGTTTTCTATTTTAAGCTAGGTACTGGGTACGTGTTTTTGAAGGTCTTAAATGTTACATAATAAAGTAGAAATTCAAATACCAGTAGTAGATGGTTACTTAATATTTCATTTTGTAGATATATCATAATTTGCCTGGTTCAAACCCCATCCCACTATTACTGGATGTTCACAATTTTCAGCTTTGGACTTTGAAATAATGTAATGTTAACCATCTGTAGTTATCAATTTTTGTCTGCATTTTAGCTCATTTTCTTAGTATAGATTTATAGAATTCAATTATTGGGTCAAAGAATCCAACCATTGAGTAGTCAGAAAAGTCATGTCATATTTTTCTGTTTTTTTTTTTTAATGCAAAAATGCATCACAACTTTTCCAATAACCCGATATAATGAATGAATATTGCCAAACTAAATTTTAGCAAAGCTATGAGTTTAAACTATCATTAACATTATGTCTATTCTACTTTACCTATCTAATACTGAGTGCTATTTTCTTTTAATTTACTGTTTTGCTAGGGAAACATGTATTTCTTTTTTGGGAGGAGGAGAAGAGAAATTTTTGATATAGGGCACATATACTCACCAGAGAGACAGAGACAGAGAGATGGAAAGCAATAAATCACTCCTCCCGGGGTGATGGCTGTGCTGCAATCCCTTCTCCTCCATTCTCCTCTAGGGATCTTCGGCATATGTACACATGCACCTGGTGTGAGGTTTAAGCCACTGGGTCTGGGACTCAACCCGTGGTTGATCATGTGGGAGTCCAGCAACATAACCATTACATCATCTGCTGGTCCCAAGGGAATATGTGTTTCTAATGGTGTTAGTTCGGTTTGTATTTCTAATCACCAGTGAGATTGTATATTACCATATAATTTTTTATTGGAGTTTTTTTTCCTTTGATGCGTGTGTGCAAGTACAGGATTTTGCAGACTCCCTTGTATGAAAGACTTGTGTGGGAAGGTCTTTGTAATGTGGGAAGGGGGGACTACAGAGAAGTCAAAAACAGTTTCTTGCCCCCCTGATTGAAAACCAGCTGTGTATTTAGACCTCTGTCTTCCTGCAGTGCCGCCAAGCTCCTGGACAAGAACCCATTCTCGGTCAGTAACACGAACCCTCTGCTTCCCTCACCTGCCAGCCTCCAGCTGGCTCAGCTGCAAGCCCAGCTCACCCTCCATCGGCTGAAGTTGGCACAGCAACACTGCGGCTGCCACAGTCCTGAACCAAGTTCTCTCCAAGGTGGCCATGTCCCAGCCTCTCTTCAACCAGCTGAGACATCCATCCGTGATCAGTGCCCCCCATGGCCCTACTGGGGTGCCCCAACATGCTGCAACCATACCCAGTACCCGATTTCCCTCTAATGCCATCGCCTTCTCACCTCCCAGCCAGACACGAGGCCCGGGACCTTCCGTGAGCCTTCCCAGTCAGGCCCCCGGTGCCATGGTGATGCACCCTTTCAGTGGGGTAATGCCTCAGACCCCCGCCCAGCCGGCAGTCATCTTGGGCATTGGAAAGACTGGCCCCGCACAGGCTGCAGCAGGGTTCTACGAGTATGGCAAGGCTGGCTCTGGCCAGACATTCAGCTCCGAGACAGACAGCCAGCCTAGCTTCCTGCCAGCCTCGGCTCCGACCTCCGGGAGTGTCACCTATGAAGGGCATTACAGTCACGCAGGGCAGGACGGCCAAACTGCCTTTCCAAAAGACTTCTATGGACCCAGCTCCCAAGGGTCACATGGATTCCCAGCTGAGCAGGCCGGAGCCATGAAAGGGGAGGTAGGGTCGTTGCTGCAGGGTACAAATAGCCAATGGGAGAACCCCCATGGATTCTCTGGCCAGGGCAAGCCTGATCTTACAACAGGTGCCAGCCTGTGGCCGCCACCCCCCAGCCAGCCCTATGAGCTGTACAACCCCGAGGAACCCACCCCAGACCGGACCCCTCCTTCCTTCGGGGGTCGTCTTAACAACAGCAAACAGGGTTTCGGTGGTGGCGGCCGGCGGCGGGCCAAGGAGGAGCCGGCCATGCTGTCTGTGCGGCCCCTGCAGGCGCAGGAGCTGAATGACTTCCACGGTGTGGCTCCGCTTCACCTGCCGCACATCTGTAGCATCTGTGACAAGAAGGTGTTTGATTTGAAGGTGAGTTTGTCCAGGACAGGCCGGGAGGCACAGCTGGAGCCTGGGCGGACTTCTCCCCACCATCCAGCCCTCACTGCTCCTGCCAGGAACCGTGCCATTTGGGGACTGGGTAGCGGGAGTTTGCCATCAGTTTCCCTGGGTAAAACCATAGGTATTAGAAACTCAAGGAATTTCAGGAACGTTTTCAGTAAAAGCCAGTCACTTGCTTTAAGGCAAGTAAGCGTTGTCCCCTGATTTATAGATGAAAAAGCTGAGGCCAGGTGGGGGATCGAATGACCCCACCTGGGCTGTAGACAGGGACTCAGGAACTCAAGACTTTGGCCTCCTCGTGGAGGGTTTTTCCTGAGTTTGGAAGGAAAATAAAGTTAGCAGAATTCTGGGACGGGGCGAGAGAGTAATTCTCAGGTGAGACCTTGACGAAGGTTATACTGGATCTCAGTTTCCCCATCCGAGGCTAGAGTTCATGACACCTTATCAGCGATTGTCAGTGCTTTGGCCGCTGCAAACAAAGGTTATCCTCCCCACCCAGATGTAGAGCTGATACAGTGAAATATTCCAAGGCGATACTACAGGTGGTAACCGACAGCCGCACCTGCATGAGGCAGATACTATTTTTACTGTCACTTCACAGGTGAGAAAGCAGAGTCCCGGAGAAATGAAATGGCTTGCTCAGGGCCCACTAGGTAGAAAGTGGAGATGAAGATTCAAAGGTGGCTCTGACCCTCCCACACCTGTGTCTCTTAAGCACTGGGAAACCCCACCTCCTTCTCTCATCCAGTCCAAGGGCAAGGGCATATGAAAGGCCCTGCTTATGGGAGCCACCCCACAGTGTGTCATTCTCCTCTGCTTGTCTCACATCACTCAAGTGATGTGACATCCCTGCGACTCAGGACACACCCGCTCTCCTCCAGTCTTGAGGGGCTGGCTGGCTCTGGGAGGTGCTCCCGTCAGCCTTTCCTAAAGCCTTTCCTCTATGAGTTCGCTGGCCTGTTCTCCTCACTGGACATAGAAATGGGTGGTGTCTCCCTGGGGAAGAGTGGAGAGAGTGGAGGTGAGAGGTGGGGACAAGGGCCCACTGAGAAGACAAGAGTGAGAGTCTGGGCTGTGGTGCAGGATGGGCATGGGATGTGCAGAGGAGAAGGGTGATGGAGTGAGGGCTGGGTGGGGAGGAGCCTGGGGAGAGGAGGGAGGGCAGAGGTGTTGCAGGGTGGCCCAGCCTCTGGGCGCTCTGTACTTCTTGCCTCATCCTCAAGCTTCCTGTGGACTCAGTTCTGCTCTGGGCTTGCCCTTTCCTTCCTCTCCAGGACTGGGAGCTGCATGTGAAGGGGAAGCTGCATGCTCAGAAGTGCCTGGTCTTCTCTGAGAAGTAAGTGCTGCCCGGGAGGACAGGTTCATGTGTGTGCACAACAGAGAGTCAGCGAGCGCCTGCTTTGTGTCGCGCTCTGCTCTGGGCACTGGGGAGCCAGCAGCAAACAAAACAGGCAAAGTTATTGTGCCTGAGAAACTTACACTTAAAGGGGAGGAGACAGGATAAACAAAATGAACACGTAAATTAGATAGTGTCGTTAGTGGTAAATGGTAAGGCGGAAACAACACCGGAATAAGGATGGAAGGTGTGTGTGTGTGTGTTTGGGAGACTAGTTCTTGCATCTTCTTTCCTTTGTGGAGAGATTTTTGCTATAGGATATGTGCACTTGCCAGAGACACAGAGACAGAGAGAGTGAGAAATCATTTCCCCACCAGGGATGACCACACCACAATCCCTTCTCCTCTGTCCTCAGGATTTTTGGCATACATGCATGTGCCTGGTCTGAGTTTCAAGCCATCAGACCCAGGACTTGAACCGTGGTAGACCATGTGGGAGTCCAGCACCTTAACCACTATACTACTTGCTGGCCCCAATTCCTGCATTTTTAATGGGGCAGTTGGGAGAGGCTCCCCTGAAGACACCTCTGGAGTGGGTAGAATGAGCCCTGGCTGACAGGGAAGTGTGCACCCGTAGTGGAACAGCAGGTGAGAAGGTTCTGCAGCTCCTGTGGAACTGCCCAGGCAACATCCAGTGTGACTGGGAATAATGGGGCAGGAAAGGAGCCAGGGAAGAGCCAGGACCCAGATCCTGAGTGATGGGGTTGCTGTGAAGGTTTTTGCTTGGAGTGTTATTGGCGCCATTGGAGATTTGAGCAAAGGAGTCATGTGCTCAGGCTCCCTGAATGGACCTTAGCTGCCAAGCTGAGCAGATGCTGGGGGTCAAGGGCAGGCCTCTGGAGACCAGTCAGCAGGTGGCTACAGTAAGTGCCAGGTGGAGGAGAGTGAATCTGACCCCGGGATGTAGAACAGATGGCTGGGGTTAAGGGTTTGGAAATGTGCGCTTTCAAAAAACCTCCTTTTCATTGGGCTGGCTCCATGGCACAGTGTAATGCGCTGCTTAAGAGAAACTGGATCCCACATGGATGGCAACTGTGGTTCGAATCCTTGACCCAGTCAGCTTGTAACATGCTAGGTGTTACCCTCAAGGTCTCACACACCTGAGAGCCCAAGATCTGAAGGTTGGAAGACTGGAAGAGGATCACAGAGTGACCAGATCCTGTGGAGGGTGTTCCCCTCTCTCTCTGTGTCTCTCTTTCTCTTTCCCCATCTCATTCTCCTGTGCATACTCTATAATGAATAAAGAGAAAAATGAGAAAGGACCTCTCTTTTTTATTTGTAGTAGCCCAAAGGTAAAAGCAACCCAAATGTCCTTTGACAGATGAATGAATAAACAAAACGTGGTCTATCCATACAGTAGACTCTTAGCCTTACAAAGAAAGGAGATTTTTGACACGTGGTACAGTATGGATGAACTCTGAGAATATTGTGCTAAGTGAAATAAGCCAGCTTGAAATAAGCCAGGACAAAAATTATATGATTCTACTTGTGTGAGAGAGTTAGAATAGTCCAAGTCATAGAGGCAGAAGAAGAACAGAGGTCACCAGAGGCTGAAGGGACTGGGGAGTGAGGGTTATTGTTTGATGGGTACAGAATTTCTTTCTTTTTTTTTTGGAGAGATTTTTTTGCTATAGGGTGTGTGCGCTCGCCAGACAGATAGAGACAGAGAGACAGAAAGCGAGAAATCACCCCCCAGAGGGGATGGTCATGCCGCAATCCCTTCTCCTCCATTCTCCTCTCGGGATCTTGGGCACGCAAGCACACGCACCCAGCGTGAGTTTTAAGCCACCGGGTCTGGGACGCGAACTGCGGTCGACTATGTGGGAGTCCAGTGACATAGCCATTACGCTAACTGCTGGTTCCCAGAATTTCAGTTTTCAACATGGAAACAGTTCTGGAGTTGTACAGGACCTCAAGAAATGTTACAGAGGGTCTTAGCTTTGCCATACTTGTGCATAATACAAATAGGCTTAATGCTGCTGATCGTGCACTTAAAAATAGTTACGATGATGGAACCAGCAGGTGGCATGGTGTTTAAGGCGCTGGATACTCCCACATGGCCAACCACGGTTCTAGTCCTGGGCCTGGTAGCTTATTTTCTCGCTTTCTCTCTCTCTCTGTGTGTGTGTGTTTCTATCTGATCAAACTAAATAAAAAAATAAAGGAATGAATAAATAAAATTAAATAAAATAATTTAAAAAATAGTTACGATGGTAAATTTTACATTGTGTGTATTTTATCCTAATTAAAATTATTTTTTAAAGATCTCCTTTTTTCTTTTTTTTTAAAGAATTATTTAACTTTATTTATTTATTTATTTATTTATTTATTTTTTTATTTAAATTTATTTATTTATTTATTTATTTATTTCAATTTGGTCAGAGAGGGACAGAAAGAGAGAGAGAGAGAGAAAGCAAGCTGCCAGGTCCAAGACTGGAACCAGGGTTGGCCATGTGGGAGTCCAGCACCCTTAACCACCACGCCCCCTGCCGGCCCCAAAAGTGTCCTTTTTCTAGCTACCTCTCCATCTTAAACTTCATTTATTTTTTCCATAAGTGAGAAAGACAAAGACAGCACCCCCATTGGGGCCTTGGTCCCACGATTCACCCACAGCTCCAGCTGTCTCTGGATCATGGGCACGTGCATGCCTAATATACTCAGGGTGCTCTCTGGATGCCAATTCTGTACCCTCTCACGTGGGTCAGGCTCACAAAGCATCGTGATTTACTGTCGTGCCACTGTCTGGCCCCTCTTTTTTTTAAATTGTGGTAAAATTCCATAAGTCTCACCATTTTAATTATTTTAAAGTGTACAGTTCAATGGCATGTAGAACATTCACAAGAGTGCATAAACATCATCACTATCTACTATCTAGTTCCAGAACATTCCATCAGTCCAAAGGAAAACCCATACTCATTAAGCAGTCACTCCCATCTCCCTAACCCCCACCCCCTGGCAACCACCAGTCTGTTTCTGTCTCTGGACTTGCCTCTGCTGGACATTTCTGCAAATGGAATCATACAAAACGTAGCCTTTCATGACTGGATTTTTTTTTTTTTTTTACTTAGCATAATGTTTGAAAATGTATCCACATTCTAGCATGTTCAAACTTTTTATGACCAAATAATATTCCATTTTATGGCTAGACCATATTTTGTTTATCTATTTGTCTCTTGTTTTTAGATTTTTACCACAGGGTATGTCTCTCTCTGGAGAGAGACAGAGAGAAGGAAGGAAAGTGAAAAATCAGCCCCCAGGGGAAATAGCCATGCCACAGCCCCTACTCCGTTCACCTCTCTGGATTTCAGCAATGCACATACACGCACCTGGAGTTCTTTTTCAAGCTGCAGGGTCCAGGACTGCAACTATGGAGTTGACTATGTGGGATCCAGCACCTGAACCACACCGTGCCACCTTTTGGCCCTATCCGTTTATCTCCTGATGAACATTTGGATTGTTTCTATCCTTTGGCTGTTGTGAAAAGTGCTGCTCTGAATACTTGTGTACAGGTTTTTGCTTGAACGCTTGTGTTCAACTGTTTGGGGTCTATTCCTAGGAAGGAATTTCTGGAAGTGGTAACTCTGTCTCGCTATTGAGATCTGGTTTCCCTTTTTCACCCCTCTCCAGCGCTGGTGTCCGCTGTATACTGGGTTCGGCAGAGGGACCTCTCTGTGCCTCTCCCAACAGCACAGCTGTTTATAACCCTGCTGGGAATGAAGGTGAGCAAGCCCCTCCAGGTCAGCTGCTTGAAACCGAGAGCGACTTCCCACCTGCTCGTCACGTTCTGTCTTTAACAACCAGGCCTTCTCTCACGTGCCCTTCTTAGCCATTAATAAACTAGACAGATCCCAGAGCACAAACCGGCACTGGGCCTGCTGTCCTCCCCCCCGTCCCCCACCCCAATATATTCCAGAAGTTTTAGACATAAAACGTCACTGATTACCAGCATATTCCGAAGTGTGATCATGCTGATCGCTAATAAGTATTAAACAGGAACTTTCCAGTTGCTCCTCCCACTTATGTCTTACTAATGACTGTTGAAGTAAATGACCGGATTTTTACCTGTCTGTGTAATTTATCATTTAGATTATGCCTCAAATCTTGGAACATTGTATGCAGCCATTCCAGCAAGGTCATTTGCTCAGTCAAATCCTGCATTTCCTTCAGCTTCCGCGGGGACAAATGTGAGTAGAAGCATTTCTTCATTGTCTCTGTCATCACCTGCCATGTCGGGACCTACAGGTACAGAGGAAGCTGGATGAAGCTGGTGTAAATGTGCCTTTGCTTCATTCACAAAAACCTACCTACAGAGAGGCTGAGAGCCGTTTAATCCAGTCCAGCAACCATTGAAGCACACCGATAAAAAAGCTGAAATAAATTCTTAAAATCGAAGGCTTGCGTTGATTTCCTAGCATTCGCCATTGCTTTAGATAAAAACAAAACAAAGCAAAGGGGTTTGAGCTTTTATTTATTTTATTTATTATTATTATTATTTAGAGAGTTGTTTTGCTATAGGGTGTGTGCACTTGCTGGAAAGACAGAGACAGAAAGCAAGAAGTCATCCCTTATGGGAGATGGCCATGCCGCAGTCCCTTCTCCTCCATTCTCCTCTTGGGATTTTGGGCACGCACGCACATGCACTTGGCATGAGTTTTACGTCGCTGAATCCAGGACTCAAACTGTGGTCAACTAAGTGGGAGTCCAGCGACATAACCATCGCTGTGGTTGTTGGTCTCTATGTATTATTATTTTTTTTAATTTGCCAGAGGGCATGTTGCACTTGCTGGAGACAGAGAGACAGAGAGAGAGAGAGAAAGAGAAAGTGAGAAAGCAGCCCCTGTGGGGAGTGTTCACAACACAATTCCTTCTCCTCCATCTCACCATTTGAGATTCTGGGCATACAAACACAAATACCTGCTGTGTTTGTCAAGACACCGGGTCTGGGCCTTGCATCCTTCCGTTTGCTGTGTGGGACCCAGCTGCCGTAACTACCACACCACTGGCTGCCCCTTATGTGTTTGGTTATAGTTGTTTGTTTGGGTTTTTTTTTTAAAGGACTTTTTGAGATTTTAAAGAAGTGGACTATTTCGTTTAATTCTAAAACTTGAACCAAGAAGAGAAAGTGTACAAATAACATTTGTTGGCCCCTGGGGGCAATGGTTGGTGTGGTAGAATACTTTTGTTTTTAGTTTTATTCTTCTCTGTCTGCAAGCAACACTTTAGCCTCTGAAAGCCCTGAGCTTCATCCCTGTACTTTCCACCAGTTGCGGCAATTCTCTTTCTCTCTTGGGTTTTGAATGTTTTGTATTTTTCTGGCTGCATGGAGCCTCTGACCTTCCTTCCCTACTTACCTGGCTTCTCTTCTGGGGTCTGAAAGGGCGGGTGGGAGGCAAAACCTGTTGTGAACCCAAATGCGTTCAGCTGACGCCAGCTAGAGGGCGCCTGTTTGTTCCTGCCTGTGTCTAGTGTTCCCTTCCCTACGGGAGCAGCTGCCCCCTCTCTCCTGCACCCTGGCAGCTCAGACTCCTCAGAGCAGGCCTCCACGTGCCAGGCACTGGAAGAGCAAGGCTCGAAGTGTAGCTTTCAGGCCCTGGGCAGCCAGTGAGTGGAGCAGGTTCATGACAGTTCACAAGACCTGCCTGGGCTCAGGTTTCTACTTATCTGTGTCTGTGTGATGTTGAATGGAAGAAGTGCTTCGAGAGAAAGCACCTGTTTGGAAGCTCTAGTGTTGGTGAAAGCATTTTGTGGCTTCTCTCTCTGTTTCCTTTCTGCTCAGAGCCATGCCCATGCCCAGGTCAATGGCAGCTTTCGGTCAGTCCCAGGGGAGTGGAATGGCTGGTGTCAGTGAGGCCTATCATTTGTCTTTGGGCTCAGACCCCTGATTACATAACCTTGTGTCCTGACGGGGGTGGTGGAGTCCCCCAACCACCCCTACCTCCAGGCCTCTTTCCACACACTCTGAACCACAGAGGAACCTCTGTGCCCACAGCTCTGCCCTGAGACCCCCTTCCTCAAGTCCTGCAAAAGAGGCTGGATTGGGTAGCAGGTGGCCCAGTGGCCAGTGCTTGTGCACTGACTCCATCCCAGGATCTGCGCACAGGAGAGAGCGTTGGCACCAACTGAGTCCTTTTCTAAAGAAGGCGACTGGTTGAGGAGACTTGGACAGGAGAACTCGGTGGTCTGCCCCATGCCTCATCTTCAACCTGCAGTGCTGACCACAAGGCCAGAGTTCCTTTCCTGCAGACTTGGAGTCAGGGGACCTAAGTTCAAGTCCTAGTTATGCAGCTCACCAGCTGTGTGGCCTCAGGCATGTCACTGTTTCTGTGGATGTTTCCTTAAATGGACACGATAACTCCCCTAATGGAGTCTGAAGGGAATATAAATAACTGGGTTTTCACCCGGCTTGCGTAATTTATCTTTTTGATTATGTGTCAAATCTGGGAACATCGTATGTGAACTTACAGCATAGTCTTGGACTCGCTGGCCAGCTGGAAGGTAGAGGCTCAGGATACACCGCAGCTCGACTGCCCTTGAGACCAAATGAGACAGTGCGTGTGACAGTGACTTAACTGTTCTGTACATATGGAGTCACAATGGTTGTTATTGAACGATAAGGCCTTTTTTGCCATTTACAAAAATTATTAATGATGTATTTAATTCCATTTGCTAATATCATTTATCAATTTGACCAGATAGAAACAGAGAGAGAGCAAGAGAAAGGGAAAGTGAGAAAGCAAACCACTAGATCTGAGACTCGAACCACGGTGGCCAGTGCCTGTAACCACCACACCACCTGCCGCCCCCCCCCCCTTAACCATTTCAGCTACAAAGAGTGTGTGGGGGAGATTATTTCAGCATGGATAAGGACAACTCTGTCTGTAGTCTCAGCATCGGTGTTCCTTTGCATGAATCTGTCTACTAATACCAATAGGCATGTCTACTCTTTTTTAGATGTTTTGGGATTCCCATGAAATTGCCTTTTTTTTTAATTAAAAATAATTTTTAAAGAATTATTTAGTTAATTTTATTAATTATTATTATTGTTATTTTTATTGGGTTATAGGGCACATGTGGTCACCAGAGAGTGAGAGAGAGAGAGACAGTGAGAAAGCAAGTCGCCAGGTCCAGGACTCGTCCTTTTCCTCTCCTTTTGGAAGTTTGGGCACACATGCACCTGTGCCTGGAGATCAAGCCGCCAGATCAAGGGCTCAAACCATAGTCAGCCATGTAGGAGTACAACACCTCAACCACCATGCCACCTGCTGCCTCGCCATGAAATCACTTTAAATTATTTATAGTCCAGAGAATCACAAACAATTGATTGTTCTTGTTCATGAAGAGTCATGGTAATTCATATTAGTACCGAGAAGCTCTGAGAACAGCTTTCTTCAAACGCCTAGAGATAAAGAGGTTTATCCTTAAGACTAAGTAGAAGTAACACGAGAAACTATTTTTTTCCTTCATTGGGAGCTTAGAAGTAACACGAGAAACTATTTTTTTCCTTTGGAGCCAGCAGGAGATGGAAAGTCCTGGATACTGTAGGCTGCTCATAGTAACAACTGCCGACATCTATGTGGTGCTTCATGTTTAGAACTTGTGTGTTGTATTAGCTCTCTCGATCCTCCAAGAACCCTATGAGGTGGGCACTATTACCCTTATGTACAGTCGGGAAAGACAGCGTGCCTTGCCTAAGATCACCTAGCTGGTGAATGGAGGCCTTGGGTGGTGAGCTCAGGCAACCTGGCTTTGGATGCCTCACTCTTAACCACTTAGCCATGCCATTTTCAGAGGGTCTCAGGGGTCTCTTCCTTGTTGTGATTCTTCTCTCCAGTCAGCCCCTCTCCCCTCTCCCTACTCCTATCCCACAAACTACTTAGGAGGAACTGAAGTTGCCCTGGAAGGTGGCAGGGACTTCTCTGGCCTTGGCCAACCATGGAGTAAGATGAAGAAGCCAGTCCCCCCAACAGCCAAATCCAAATGTTTTGGTGTTGTCGTGGCATTTTCTAAGATGAACTTGGAGGTTTGGAGGCATCTCTACAGCCCTGTGGAAGGGGAGATATATCATTTGACAAGTTTTATCATTTTCTGTTCCATGAAGTCTTGCAGGTCACGTGAGCCTTCCCAGGGATATCCAGGGACAAGGGCAGAGCCTGTCCCAGCCAGTCCCTGCATTACCAGTGGCTTGATGTCCACTTGCACCCCTTTGTCAGATCTGGCCCCCAAGTTTACCATTTCTGGCAAATGGAGTTGAATGCAGATGTATCTCTCTTTAGCAAAACCTCAAATAGAAACATACGGACATTTGAAGACAGGCTGAGAAATGCAGAGTCAATTAATCCATCACTGAAAAATACCTCGCAAGACACTTTTAAGTGGAAGATTCCCTCAGACAATTTTTTTTTTTTTCCTTCTTACAAATACTGACCTCCAAAGATAAGCAGATACATCCCAGGGTGATTACTCTGTTACCAAGGGATACTTGGCCAGGCTCCAGTGAGTGCCCTGTGAATTTCTTTTGCACATATATCTCTATGGCTTTTCCTGCTTTATAAAATGTATGTGTATTTGAAAATTTAAACAGAAAAAAACATGAATGAGGAGAGTGAGACTCCCCGTTACTCCCTCCTGGCCCCTATAGAATACCCACAGGGGCTTTGATTCCGTTTACTGTATATGTGTGCTCTGGTCTGAGCCAGGGCTTTTTCTGTTGGATTCTATTCATGTACATCTTTCAGAAACACATTTGTGGAGTAAAACCAGGAGTAGCCAGGACTCTGCCTGGATTGTAAGATCACTATTGTGTGTGGAGCAGGGAGTCGTTGCAGCTTCCAGAGCTCCGTTTTCAGCAGAACCAAGCAATGTGGAGCTCTGGGATGTAGCCTTCGGAGTGTACCTCGGCTGCCACACGTCTTAAAACAACCCTTGAAGCCATTTCCACTACCAGCACGCCTTTCTGACCAGAGGCTTGGCTGAATTTACAATATTTGCCTCAGCCTTTTGTCTCCCTGTTTATTTTCGCCAGAGATGGGACATGGAAGTGACAGTTGTGTGTAGCGTTGGCTGGGAGTGGGGTGATTTGTGTCTGTCCACAGCCCTCCCGCCGCACCAGGGCCCCTGGAGATAGGTGTTCGCTTTCACTTAAGCTCCTGCCAGTTGGTGGAGCCGAGCACCTTCTCGCTGGCTG